TTACCATTTTGTAGCTAAGTGATCAGGCAAAGTTAAAATAAGAATCATTATTTACTCTATAGAGTCCATGTGTACTAATGGGACTATTTCATAGAGTTCAAAGATATCTAACCAGAAGTTAGTCTGATGGATGAGCAGCTAATATGAATGTGGAATGCAATACTTCAAAATACGCCAATGGTGGTTTACAAAAAGTGGAGGCACTTGACCATATAATATAGGCTACAAACAATAAAAACTAATTAAGGAAATAATCACCAATCAGCAAGCAAACACGCCCAGGCAAGAGTAGCTGATAGAATCCTAAGTACAGGCAAAAATGATGCCCTAAATCTGCTCGTGAGCAAGGTAAATCAACCCACTTTGACATTCACAGCTTTCATACTTATGTTTATCGTACCCAGGATAATTAAGGTAACCACCTTAGGTATTTAACTTAGATTAGTTATGACGTAATAAGCGTCAGTGCAAATCTCTATCGAGCATGAAAATTCATCCATCAGAGATCAGACTTAATTACCAGTTGTACGCTGAAGTAGCCTCCGAACTGTCAGCAACAAAATGCTTATGCAAATGGGTCAACGAAGTATAGCATCAATTTAATATAATAACGTGAAATACCTGAACAACTTTAACCGTTTGGTTATCGGAATTTTGACCACCTAAAACAAATACTTTATTTTCTACAGCCACAGCAGTAGGAAAGTTCACAGGAATCGGCATTTTAGTCGAAGAGTTGGAACCCTGAGGCATATATGAAATAGATAAGTCTTCTTTTAGCATGAGCCAGACGACATTGTCGCAAGTTTTATAGGCGCCTCGTAAACGGCCGCCAAAGATCCCGACACGCATCGTGAGGACGGAGACTAAGAATACATAATTAAGATTAATATAGAATATGTTAATTCGCTTAAGGTAATCACAAAGAAAATGTAATTATGCAAAAATAACTTAGGTTTGGAAGAAAATAGCAATATGAAACAAAAACGGAAGGAAAGTGCAGCGTACGCGAAGGGAAGGAAGGGATACAAAGACGCGTAAATAAAAGGAAGAAGCGGGTTTGCGAACATCGGGAGAAAAGTAACACGAAAAACAAGTATTAAGAG